CATACCCCACTTGGTCAGTGCCATCCACAGAAGACAGGAGGGAGGATCCCCGGTTGTGCATTCGACTGGTGAGCGGCGCGTTCCATGACTTCGTTATCTCATCGTGCACCTCGGGGAAAAAGGGTCCGGGCCTCCGCGGGGTGTCCTTTCGGCCGCGATCCGACTGGAGGTACCACTCGTCCAGACAGCTTCTGGCCAGCTCGGCAGTCCGACCCCCCATGCGCCACTTCTGCGTGGGCGCGACCCAGGCAGAAGACGCAGGACTTGTGGCCATCAGAGAGTTCGATTGGCTCTGCGCAGGAGCCATTGGCCAGTTTCACTGGCGTGATTCAATAAGGCTTCAGTAGTATTGGAGGAAAGGGTAATTCCCATAGCAATGTAGAGTGACCGAATCGAAAGGGAACTTACTTACTAAAATAACTTCTAAATATGATTGAGCCATCAATCCAATTACTAACAGATTATTTGGGTGCATGTAAAGATACTGTAGCTACTTAGTCAAGGGCCAGACTCCTACCCATCAGACTTGGGAACACTGGGTAATCAGATGTCAGTCCACAGCCACGATTCAAAGAACTTGGTGCACACATACATTTGGGTGCATGTAAAGATACTGTAGCTACTTAGTCAAGGGCCAGACTCCTACCCATCAGACTTGGAAACACTGGGTAATCGGATGTCAGTCCACAGCCACGATTCAAAGAACTTGGTGCGCACATAAATGTCCTCTATGTCAGGTAAATCATCTTCATCGAACTCTTGCACACTCATTGGAAGAAATAAGTCCCTGGGCTCCTCCCCTCTGTACTCTGCGCAACAGTAAAGGAAAGCCGACACGCAGCTCCAGTCCTCGGTGATGTAGAGGGAGCGGCGGTAGCAGGAATATGGCATGGCAATCTCCCTCATGCCGTCCACACAACATCTCTGCATCTCGTCAGAATATACCTTCTCTGAGAGAAAAGAACACACTGGTAAATGTTTGTCTGGTTATAAAAAAATTAATGTGAGACTACTAACTTTATACTTGATAGGGAACTTGTAGGGAATGTTTTGTACTGTATACGGCTAAATCCTGCTCTCATGACTAGATAATATTTCAGTTATGTTTTAAGCATTTTTGATATTGTGATGTTATGAAGATTATGTTGCGTTAACACACTGACTCACCCAGATTCTCTCTTTGTTCCCATTTTGTTGCTCTTTGCTTTAAGGATCTTTTCCTCCTAGATTCTTTGGCGCAATGACCTATTTCATAAAATCAAAAGAAAACTTAAACATCAAAAAAGAAGACCCACTTGTCCTTCTCTTGGTTAGACTGGGAGCAAAAACAGCACAGGACCAATGTGATGTTGCGACGTTATACCTGCTCATCACAGCCCAAAGTGTATAAGCCCCCACAATATGTATCATATACACCATACATGTAATACAAAATATTGTCTGCTATATTATTTAGCTCAAATATATATATATATTGTCGCTATACTTTAATTTGTCTGAAATTAATTTTAAATGGCAGGTTTTTTTTCCCCTTAGGATATCTTTTTAATCTTTACAATTAACAGAGCAAGAATGCTGTGTGTGAAGCACCTGATCCAAAGTCAGTAGATCCTCCTGTGCTGGAAAAAAACACCAGTCCTGCATCACTGAAAACACCCATATTATTCCTACCTCCTCCTGCGGTGCAGCCCATATCACGCTGACCCACCACCTCCCACACCTGAATGACAGAGGTATGAGTATCGATAAATCTCCTACAGGAAAAACCAAGAGTTGTCAAGATTTTCTACATTTATGAAAAGTAATGTGTACTGTAAATGACCTTCTTCTGCGTCAGATGGTTTTTACTCAACAGAAAGATGGCATTATCCACTGCAACCAGGCTGACCTTTGCTCCCGGGTCTCCTTTCACTTCAAAATGAAAGCTGCTGCCTGGTGAGTATGAATTGAGTTTTTCTCCCTCCACTGGTCCTAAACTGAGCTAATACAAAACACGATTAAGCAGCAAGAGTTACACATATTAAAAATATCTATGCAAGTTTTACGGGATATTTTACCAAATACTGTACAAGGACTATAGAGTGCAACAATTGGGTTACAGAAGTAAAAGATTTCAGCAATTTTTAATGGAAACTTATAAACGTTTACTTATAAACCTTTAAAGACAGACCTACCGTGAGTTCCGAGTTTGGTAATGGATGGTATATGCTTTTGATGATGCCATCTGTTTGCATTATTTAGAGATTTAGAAAACTGTATTTTACAGCTGAATTGGTGAAAAACTACATTACATTACATG